ATGATTTGACTGTTAACAGGTTTGTTGAGCATTTACCTCAGCTCACATCTCTGGAATAAATGAATTAATCTCATATGTTTAAATACTCGCAATAATGCCAGATTTTATGAAGTCATCCCAAAGTATAAATTCAGTGAAGACATCTGGGACTGGAAGCACAATTCTCTTTATCTGAGACAGCACATTTACTTTGTTAGTAAAACAAATATGTAGTTTTTTTCAGTTTGATACAATCTATGGTTTACAAGTGTTAAAAATAAATTACTCAACGGTTGCTATTAGTTCTAAAATGTGTTGTGAATGATAGAGGAAAATAAAACCTCAATATGTCATTGAGAGCAATTTGAAACTCTGTACGTGTGCTTTATTGTGTCAGACTTTTTCAGAAGTCATCTGAGACAGCTTGATTAATCCTGTGAAATCACAGAAACTTGGTCCTCCAGGTTTCCATACCTTTGCCATGTCCTCTTCCAGTGGATCATAGTTGTCCACTATGTAGCTCAACAGGGGGGGCTGGTCTCTTATTGACAACTAGCAGCTGTCCTGGTCAAAATTACTGGTCCAGATCAAATCAGTGGAATAACAACACAGATGCAGATTTACCCACAGACTCAGGTCCACCTGCTCCTCTCACCATGAGCAGGAAATCATGTATGTCCTTATTTGAGACCTGAAGGAAATCAATATGCAACGTGTTTGAGTGAATGTGGACACGGTAATATGTGTAAACAAAGAACCTGTCTGTTATGCTTGAGCTTTTTGTGAACTTGTAAATTCTGTGAACCTGTCAATACAGAAACAATGTTTCTCCAGATTGATTTTCTCAGGTCAGAAAAATTTGAGTTGTGATAATATCACAACTCTTGTTACTCAGCTGTACGCACAAAGCATTTCATAACCAGCTAAAGGGCTCGGGCTTGTATCAGATTACTCCCAACAGCTGAAATCAGGGAGGAGGGACTGTGGAGCCACCAAACAGCTGAAGAGGCACTGCAGCCAATGCTGAGGCCAGGTCTCACAATCACACACCAGCCTCACACACTGGAAAAACCCAAGTCCACGTGCTGTTCACTCCACTTATTTTCACAAGGCTCAGGATCAGAGATACGCTTCATAAAAGAAGAAAGAAATAAGGTGCAATGTAGGGGTAGAAATTCACTGTTTCTATTTCCCTGCCACTGTGGCTGGTGGATTCCAAAATCGTTTAACTATCAGCGTGTGACAGGAATTATTTTTCTTCAATATGGCCCTAATACTCTATTGTAAAGTAACACTAAAATCAACACAAGCTGAGAATGGATGCAAGATGCATTATATAAATTGGACAGATTAAACAACAAACAAAACCATTCGTTCTTTCATTCCCATCTCCAGTCCCAGTTTAATGTCACTCATCAGATTCTGAAGTTTCTGCAGCACCTCCCCAGCAGTGCTCTTCGCCACCAGTCTGGACTTCCAGGGCGGATGCTGACATCATGCCAGAGCTGGTTGGGAGGGGTGGAGTCATAATCCTCTATAGAGAGAATGGATTGCTGCAGGAGTCCCACAGGCAGCTCGATGAAAGATAGGACCTCCAGTCACTATTGTCTAACTTCATTTGATTGAAGCCTCTTCCACAGGCTCCTGTGGAGGCTTTTATAGTGAGAATGAAGTTGACCAAGCTGAGGATGTCAGGGTGTTTGCTGTAGCTGATGTATTATTGTCCACTGACTGTATCAGTCTAATGGCTGAGTTTTATTGATCTGTGTATGAAATAAATGTTTTTGTCTGAATCTAACCTACACATACCACACTATATACTACATACATACCTTTGCAGTTATCCATACCAGACAGGCAAAGCTGGTTAGGCAGCTTGAACTTGGCCTTCATGACACATTTTAAGGTGTTGACATTATTCTCATGCCGGTCCATACAGGCTTTCAGCTCGGGGGCCAGGTCTGTGGTACATTGGGCTGTTTATTCAAAATATTCAGCTGAGCAGCCATGCATAACTTTCTGGCTGCTTTCAGAAAGCAAAAATAATCTCCTTTCATAACCACTATTCCTCGACACCCTGATGGAATACGTCATGAGGTCAAGGAGAGATGTGAAGGAGAAGATGTAAGGAGTTAGGAAAGGAGAACTGTGCGGAGAAAATCTGACTTCAATTACACTCTAAAAAAAATAACTTTATTCATATCAGAAAATACACAACAATTGTACAGTGCTCGGTGCTGTGCGCTGACAGTTATAATAAGGTTTCCTGTCTCAAACAGAATGACCCGTCCTCAGAAAAGATGTTTTCAGTTTATACAGAAACAACATTTAACATTCAGTTGCTCAGAGAAATAAACAACAAAATAGATTTAATTGAAAATAAAACAGACAAGACTGAAATGTTGAAATAATATAATCAGGAGCTCCGACGATCATGTGATGATTCACATCAGTTCTGGATCGTGTCATGACAATAAAACAGCTGTTCTGTTTTTTATAGAACAGATGCAACGACAACAATTGTGTGCTTGCATTTTCTCCTTTCCTTTCATAAAGCATGGTTTGGTGTTTCCTATGCTAAAGGAGATAAGCAAGGAAAAATTGAAGCTTCTTTCCTTATCATTTAGAGAATTTGGAAAGCTCTTATTATGGTGGTCGATGAAATACTTCCTTTCATTCCACTTAGTTAGGAAGGTTCCCAAGCAAAATAAACTTTCCAACGTAGCCTCTGTTCCCTCTCAGTCAGTCACCAGGTATTATTGTATTTTGAGAGCACTATCTGGGTGGTTGTCAGACTGCTGTGTATTTTAGCTCCTGGGACAGTTTGGGTTCAAAGAGTCTGAGAAGGGCTGTTGAAGTGAGTCAAGCACTGATGCATGAAGTTGCAAAACATGAAAACTTCTCGATCCAGGCAGATATGGGAGTAGTGGCACGCTCCTCTGCACTGGATGCAGTGACTGAATATTCATACAAAATTTCCCTAAACTAAATATATAAGTGAGTTCAATGAATAATAATACACTACATCTAATTTATTCCAATCAAGTGACCTAATCGTTTAGCATTAGGTAATCTACACTGTTGTTTAGTTTCTGTTCTGTTTAGTCTGTGGTTACCTTAAAAATAGTCAAAAATGGTTGATGACCCTAAAAAGGTGAGAAACCCTGCGAATGGGTCCAACCCTAGTTGGTCCAATGGGCTTCTGCCCTGTTGTTTGCATCTTTACAGCATGTACAATGTACAAATCAACAGCATATATCTTTAAGCTGTTTTGCCTTAGAGCAGCTCTAAATATTTTTGTGAAAGCTAGTCTGTCGCACTGGGCCACAGAATGAATGCCAGGATACGTTATTTCATCTCAGCATGCTCACTTTACTTTTTATGCATAAAGCAAAAATTGGCAAACAAATGGCCACGGTAGATAGCCCTCGGATTGGTTTACTGTATGTTACATCCACTTCGAGCCAGGTTATACAATACCGATAATCATCGGAGTATAATTTTCAACTAAAGCAATAGGTAATTTCATGAATATTTATCGAATGTTTATCAAGTATTTGTCATTCTCCTCCCATAAGGAAGAGTTTAAAACCACAACCTGTTGTGAAAATCTTGATATTATTTTTGATCACATCGAGCCCTACACGGAAATCATAAACAGACAAAGCACAACACTTTTGAGCCATGTGTCTGTTGCTGTGACCTCTTTTAGAGAAAGTTGATTGGGACACATTTCAAAGGCATTTCCTTATGAGCTTAGACCATTACAATAGAGCCTAATAATTGCAAGCGAGAACCACAGAAAGAACTGTCCCTGAAATAAATAAAAAAAATTAAATTCAAAGACGGAGGTTTAAAAACTATTCACACTGTCAGACTCTTCATAGAAAGGTAAATATTATACAGTGCCAATCATACCACATATGTACATGCCTGTCAATAAATCAGAGTGGTGAGTACATTTCCTAGAGGAGTGTGTAAATGGAAGGATAAGGCAGAAACAAGTGTTCAAGGATCGAAGGATTCAAGGAGTTTTTATTGTCATAACCACCACATGTACAACATACAGTGGAAACGAAATTACAGTCTCACGTGACGTCCTGGTAAGCCCGGACAAAAATACAAATTAAAATCACGGAGAAAGTGCTTGGAATGTGACTGAAAAACTATACAATAAACCAACTAGACTAAACTAAATGAGATTTAACTAAACCACAAAACTACAATTAAGGGTTGGGTGACATAAGAGAGGCATGAACATTTAAAAGACATGTGAAGCATGCAATGTAAAGTGACGTGAGTCTTGAGGTAGTGCAAGAAAATAAAGATATGAATAAAAGTAGTCTGTAGTGCACACAGTCCATGAGATGCAGCCTTGGATGATTAAAATACAGATACTACACCTTTGAATTAGAATTGTTGGTCAGTTCTGGCACTAGTTCTGGCACATACTCACTCTCACTCACTGTAACAGCAGCAGTGTATGGGTTTATTTTCTTTATTAATGATATCACTGCTGTGGCCACCAAACCTATCTGCTGCTCTTCACGTCCACCTCACCAACTAACACCTCGATATCGGTGTCAGAAAGTTGCGCCTCTTCTTTTCATCACAATTCACCGTACAAACCCATTGGTCAGCAGGAGAGTTAATATACATGTGTTGCTTTGCATTGACCATTTATGGTTGAATGTGGGCGTGTAGAAGGCGGGGCATGAGGCAAATCCTCGTACACATGGTTCCAGGAGGACATGCACTTTTAGTATGAATAATCATGCCGACGTTTTATAAAGAGGCCCCTGATGCTTGCTCTTTTCCTTGGATTTTTATTGCAAAGCCTCAAGTAAGCTAAGCAGCACCCCGCCTACACTGGCCACCTGAACTATCTTTAGCCTCTGCTGGCAAGTGAATGGATGTGTCTGACTTATCTTCACTGCTGTCATCGAGGCAGCCAGTATTTTTAGGGGACAGCAGCAGCTGCAAAAGCATTTAACGGTATTCCACGGACAATGACACTTGGGGTGTCTAAGGCCTGAACAACACCGCGATCGGGGGACCACTCCGAAGTTGTTAAACAGGAATCTCGTGAGGATAGTGAAGTTCAGTTTTCCCTCCCTCCTACGGGACAGATAGTCACACACATGAACTGGAGTGGAACTTGGGACCTTTGAGGAGTATGTGTCTGAATCTGAAGTCAACCTGGGACATTACTCAGCCTTCAGGAGACGGGTGGCATTGCTTCTCAGCTCGAAGCAAGATTGCAAGTGCGGAATGTATGTTGACGGTCGTTCCTGGCGACTGAAGCGAGGTAGGTCATATGGGGGGTACACAGCAAAGCTTCACAAGGGGCAGAGGTCATTCCAATTAAATCAGACAAGTAAACACAGGGGTTAATCTCTTCTCTTTAAACCTCCAGAGGGAGTATTGAAGACTCTTTCAACACTATATACAAACTGTCCTAGTCAAGCATTAGGGCCATATTGATCATTAATGGGAACCCCCTTACATGTCAAATTATATTTTCAAAGACTGTCAATTTTAATTTGAAAGTTAACAGAATTTTAAGACTGTCTACAAACTAAAGCTGTTATTTTCAACTCTCTTTTACAACAATATTTAGACAAAATTTTGTATTTTGTTCTCGGTTGCCACGTAAATCACAGGGCATGAAAAGTTTGAAAGAACACAATTTCATTATTTTGCAACAGGAGGTTGGATTTGTTTGGTGTTTAAATATTATATTATCACTATTAGCATTACTATTGTGAATAATATCATAAATATATATATATTATTTGCCATATATTATTATTAGCAACTATGTGATCGCATTGACTATGGCAAAAATGGTAACTATTTTAAAAACACAATCCTGACTTCACAGACCTGAAACATTGCTTGTTATATCCAAAAGGCTCCTCAAGGAAACGTTTTAGTCGAAGAATAAAATCTCACAAATAGCAACAAAAAAAGAAATTTCAACGGGAGAGAGGAAGTTGTAAACTATGAACAAACTCTTTAGGATAGGACAGATTTATTCAAGAATATGACAGATACATTATTTTAACAGTAACATTTAAAGAAAGAATTCCTAAAGAGAGCTGCCAACAAAGGGTGTGATAGGGGCCCAGCATATTTTGACTGCAAAGTCTCTTGGGTGGGCAGACTGTGGTTTTTGCCAGTGTTGGTGTGAGCATGCGGCTTTCAGAGCTGTCTTTGTGATACCTGACACACAGATCTTTATTTAGGGCATGCTATATTAAGTACTTTCCCATTGAAATACAGCACCAGCTGTACTGCCTAGATGTGTTGTGGCTGCTGTTGCAACAGGACCTGGTTGTTCCCCCTGTCACTGCTAGCCGGTGTTTTTCTCTCATGCAGACAGATCTAATTCAATTAGCACTAATAATCATACCATCCGTTTGTGCTGAAGACATGCATGGGAAAGGGACAGAGGTTCAGTGTGTTACTCTCTTCAGTGTGTTTTATTTTCAAAAAGTATTATTGTATCATTATTTCATACATGGTTGAGTTTTTAAAAACAAATAGCTTCACTATACAAGCCCAAGTTCAAAACGCAAGCTGTTTGATATCAAAGTGTTCATTCTGATGTTTCTTTTTTAGAAATTTGCAGTGCAGGGGTTGGACCATCTTTTCCCAGTGAATAGCTGCCACAGGTGAAGTAAAGGTAACTGAGAAGCAGAAATGGATGTGTTTGGTGGTGCACCACGTTTCTTTGCCTATCCAAGACCTGTGGTGGTACAAAGTGGGACTGATGCTGTTCTGAAGTGTCAAATTGGTGGCGATCCAAGGCCTGCAGTTATCTGGGAGCGTAACAATGAAAAGATTGACCCACAAGGACGATACAGGGTCTTTGAAGATGGAAACATTTACAATCTCATCATTTCAGCTGTGACCATGGAAGACAGTGGACAGTACATTTGCAAAGCAAAGAACAGCATTGGGGAAACATATGCAGCAGCAACACTGAAGGTGGAGGGTGAGGCACAAGAGATGGAGCTACGAGAGGAAAATAAGCCACGGTTCCTCATCAAGCCACTCTCTACTCGTGCAGGTCGTGGGGAGGATGCTGTCTTCTCTTGTAAGCTCTGGGGAAAGCCACGACCGGAGGTTGTCTGGGAAAAGGATGGCAGGAAACTCAATGAAATATTTGAAAGCACACATTTTAGTGTGGGCTACCAGGACGGTGGATGGTTCCAGCTCAAGATTTTTAAGACACGTGCACCAGATGGTGGAGTATATACATGCAAAGCCAGAAATGAGTTTGGGGAATCATTGGCAGGAGCTGTGTTGCTTGTCGATGCAGGCCCAGGACATGAGGAAGAGGGAAATCGTAATGGCTACACAAACGGCCACTGGAAAGCCCACCAGGGAAAACAGAGGATTGGTAGGCAAGTGCCAAACCGACTCAAAGATGACACCATGACCAAGTCTACCAAAGTCAAAATGTTTGCAGTGACAGAGGGCAAACATGCCAAATTTCGCTGCTTTGTGACTGGTAAACCCAAACCAGAAATAATTTGGAGGAAAGACGGCAGGCTGATACTGTCTGGAAGGCGTTATTTGTTATATGAGGACAGAGAAGGATACTTCACACTTAAAGTTCTCTACTGTAAGCAGAAGGATAACGGAGTTTATGTTTGTGCAGCATCAAATACAGCAGGCCAAACCCTCAGTGCTGTACACCTCTCCGTAAAGGGTAAGTCAAGATCAATTTCAGTGGCTTTAAAAAATCTCAACTTCACATTGAATAAAGTTAAAATCTTTGAGGGACAGCAGAGTAAGTGCAGACACAGTTCTAGCCTGGGATGCTTTTTCACTGAGTAAAGGAGTGAGTGAGGGTGAGATGTGTTCGTGGATCAGATTTCAATTCATGTGATGCTGCGATGATGTCAGTGAGATAGTATATCTCATCAGAACATTTATTTGGGGTAAGGCCAGAGAGCCTAGACAAAAGTACAATGTTACATTTTGTGGTAGTACATTGATTCTTTCTCAAATAAAACTGAATTAGATATTTACTGAATTTTTTTTATTATATAGAAAGCTTACAAACATGCTCATAAAGTTAGTAAAAACTTTGAAAGTTTCATATATAATTAAGCATATCTCATGAAAAGGTGTTGCTCTAAAGAAAGTATAGTTAAATCACACAAAGCATTACATCATCTCAGTTAGATTCATAAAAGGATAGGTCAGTAGGCCTGTGAGATGGAAATATAATTAATGAAATTATTAGACAAGCTGCATTAAAATCTGGAGAATAAATCAAATGTATTAGAGGTCTGAAATTTGAAAGACTGATTTGTAAACAGGCAAAGTTTATAAGCCTGAAGTGGATTTCAACGGCAGTGAGACGTCTGCAAAGCTACTTAGCTTGTGAAAGGTCTAGGGAGGCGTCCATGTGAGAAATCTTTGGGAAGGGGATCATGTTTCTCACATGGCTCAGAGAAGTCCAATGGCACCAACTTAAAAGTATTGTACTGTATCAGTCAGAAATAGAGAAAAGAACTATTGAGATAGGATTATTATAGGATATAAGTGGTGGGTCAAGAGGAGATTTGAAGGTGATATAAACGGAAAATGGAGAATGCATTTCATCAGTTGTCACCCTAACCCTAACCCCTCTGTTTAATTGGATTTTTTAAAACAATATGACAAGGAAATGAAGAACTTTGCACACAGAAAACTAAATATAGGCCACATCCTTGTGTTTCCAACTGTCTGGTGGTGTCAGTTACAAACAGTTTATTTCCTATCTAACACCCTGATGTGTTAATGTCCTTTCCATTCCGATACTAAATAAGCCACTTGTCTCATGATTTTTGCTCATCTTGTTTGCTTCACTGGAATTTACTGCCAAATATATTTCAATTTACAGTGTTTACTACTGCGAGACACTTTTTGTCAGACATAATTTCCCAAAGAATTTATATTGATGATGATATTTAGACAGAAGTAAATATATGTCAAGCTTTCTTGTTATTTCATTATAAAAAGTTATATTGACTTAATCAAACTGATGTTCTTCTTTCTCTGTTGGCCCAGAGCCACCTGTGCGGTTCAAGCAGCCCCTCATTGATCTCGAGGTATGGGAACGAGATTTAGCTGTTCTTGAGTGTGAAGTTCCAGAGGACTCTGTTGCCATCACATGGTATCTGGAAGATAGACGGCTACAGCCAGGGGCCAAATATGGAATGGAGGAGTGGGGAACAAAAAGACGACTAACTATCCGTGACATCGGAGTTGATGACGACGGGATTTACCTCTGTGAGATGCCCGATGGGGGAAGAAGTATTGCAGAGGTAGCAGTAAAAGGTAAATAAGAATAACAGCAATACAACTTTGACAAGGACATTTAAATGCAAAAGTATATGCAAAGTGATTCAAACGAAAAAGCAACAACATTTCATACACACCATGAGGTACCTTTATCATAGTTGTTTTGGTATAGAGGAATTCCTAAAGTTTCATTCAATATACAGCTCAAATGAAGACAATCCTTACCTGACTATATCTGTTTCAAGATCAAAAATGTATGCAGAAACTTTCTGAATGTGAACTTCCTTTTCTTTATCATTTTCTCTTCTCCCTGGGTGTAAGAGAGAAAAGGCAAATCCTGAAAGATGTAGATGAAAGCGCTGTTTCTCAGGCATTACTTCTCATTGATGTTTATTGTACTAGTGTGAAGTGTGTATATATACTACTATATTGATCATATTGCTGCTTGTTTTGTAGTCTAGTTCTGTTATGAGATTAAAGACAATTGAACTCATTCAGCAAATGGCTTAAACATGTGTAACGTCAGTGGAGGAATTCTGACTTGGCTGCCAAGGACAAAGGAGGAAATGGACATTATTATGTAGCCTCAAAAGCTGCTGACAGAACAGGCTGGTAGACATGGAGATCAGTTCATTTCCCATTTCCTACAAACTGTTAACTTTAAGTCAGACCACAATGGTTAATCTGCAAGTAGTTATTCATTTAACTATGAAAAGGAATGTCCCATAACCTAAGCAGTTATTTTAACCTAAATTTAGACCTTTTCCTAAAATTAAAGTTGTTTTAGTGGGTAGACAATTGTAGTGTCAACAAAGATCAGAAAATGTTTTTACTTTACAATGATGATCTGTTTTGGTTGGCACTGGCAAATTACATTACCCAGGACATCAGGTCAGGGACATCAGGTCAATAACTGAGTTGTCCAGAGAACAATTACACATACAATTTATGATTTTAGATCATTAGATAATCAGAATCTTTGTACGATTAATATGCTAAGGAATCACTCACACAAGTGTCTCCTTGCAGGTACAATTATGCGGAAGCTCCCAAGAAAAGTGGATGTCTTGGAAGGTGAAAATGCTGCCTTTTGTGTTGAAGTGGAAAAGGAAGAGATGGACATACATTGGTACAAAGATGGCACAGAGCTGCGGGAAACCCATCAGACAATTCTCAAGTCCTTTGGTCGAACTCACATTCTGGTTTTTGTCAATACAATGCCCCAAGATGCTGGCCTTGTGACTTTCCTTGTAGCCAGATCCAAGACTTCTTCTCAGCTAAGAGTGAAAGGTAGGGTACCATACCAGAATAATTATATTATTTTGGGATGGATCAACATGTATAAGTTATTCCATCCAAAGTGATGTTGATGCATTATAGACTTTCCTTTTTTCAGCGGCCAGACATTGTCCTCCCAGTTGTCCAGTGGGTGTGCAGATCAACACAGAGCGGGCAAATGCTGCTCTTCTATCATGGGTTCCTTCCCAGGACTCACGTAAAAATCCTCCATCTGGATATGTGCTTGAACGGCAGGAAGTGGGAACTGGTTCACAAGAGTGGCTACAGTGCCTGACCACTGATACTGCAACGTCTGTGGAGATCCTTGGTGATAGTGTACCATGTGAGGCCGATTATCGATTTCGCATTTGCAGTGTTAACAAATATGGAAAGAGCAACAATGTTGAGTTTCCTAGAGCTGTTCACCTGGGTAAGTTCAGTTATATTAAATATATTATACTCTGTTTTGCCCCCTATCGGTTTTAACTCAACAAAGTTTACAATATAATTTACTAAATCATGTACAAATGTTTTTTTCTTTTATAGTTCCGGTTGCCAGAATACAAGCTCCCTTACAGGATGCCTTGGTGCCTGAGGGACAAGATGCCATCTTCTCTATTGAGCTCTCTGCTTCAGTTATTGGTACATGGTTCTTAAGTGGTACTCAGCTTCAGGAGGATGAACGTTTTTTCATGCGTCGCTCACGAACACACCAATCACTTCGCATTCGAGGAGTACGTGATACAGATAATGGGGCTGAGATAACATTCATTGCCTATGGCATCCGGGACTCGGCAGCATTGTACATTCAAGGTACTTGTGGGTGACCGTCATAGTTTGCTCTTGAGTGTTTCTTGGTTGACTTTTTAGTTCTCTTGTCATATCTGAAATTGGGTTGGATAAATGTGCAAATGTTTAGCACGAACAATACAAGATGGCCTCAGTTCATTTTTGACAAGTTTTAGTTACTGTTCTCATTGTTTTTCTATTTGCAGCTCCTCTGGTCAAGTTTTCATCAATGTCAGAAATGGATCGGAACAAATTTGTAGAAATTGGGAACCCCATTGTTCTCTATTGTGAGCTGTCAGACCCTGCAGCTGCAGTGCACTGGTACAAGAATGGGGTGTTATTACAAACAATGGAGGGTCTTCATATTCAATCAGAGGGCACCATGAGAAGAATTGTCATCCAATCAGCTGAGTTCTCACACTCCGGAGTGTATTGCTGTGATGCCATTGATGACATCATCAGGTTCAATGTGGAAGTAGAGGGTAAGTGGCGTTTCTTACTCTACTAGTGTCATTTATAGAGAATAACCATCTTTATTATGTTGTTTATCCCATTTTCTTTCTTTTTTGTTTAAATATTTTGTCCTCTTTTAAATCTTTACTTGACATATAATCATTACCATTTAGCAACCATTACATTTCTAAATATCCTTAGCCCCGCCTGTGAGGTTTTCAGCAATTCCAGATGCTGAGAGGACCAAAACCATCCAAACAGGCTGCCCCATTGTTTTACAATGTGAGCTCTCAGATCCCTCTGCCCAGGTGTACTGGTACAAAGATGGGTCAAAGCTCCATCCTCAAAATGGAGTAGATATTCAAAATGATGGCCTGGGAAGAACACTGATTGTGCATTCAGCCGAATTTTTCCACTCTGGGTTGTACTGCTGCAAGACAAAGGGTGACGCCATCACGTTCAGTGTGGACATCAAAGGTGATTTGGTTTTAGCAATGTGAAACATTAACAAGCTCCTGCTCATCAAAACAACTAACTCTTCACACTCTTTTATGTTGTCTTCAGCTAAGATGTCACATTTTGCATTAGAGCATGCTTAGTTGTCAGTAAACAGATTATGATGAATAATCTAACAGCTGACATGAGGTTTATGTTAAGTTGACATGAGATCTGAACATATCTATAGCTCCACCTGTGAAGTTCTCAGCAGTCCCTGAAGACATGAGGACCAAGTCGATCGAAGCAGGCTGCCCTATAGTACTCCAGTGTGTGGTGTCAGATCCTGAGGCGCACGTTTGCTGGTACAAGGATGAGGTCGAGCTCATTTCAAACTCTGCAATAGAAATTCACTCAGAGGGCAACACAAGGACAATAGTTGTTCAGTCTGCAGAGCTGTGCCACTCTGGTGTGTACAGATGCACGACACTGGATGATATCGTGGAGTTTCACGTGGAGATCAAAGGTGACTTTGCACTTTTTTTCTTGTGCGTTTATATTGTAACCCCACCTCCTCTTTCTAGATGCCACTAATAATCCCGCTTCTACTGTGTGTGGTTTGAGGGACTGCTCCATGCACATAAGCTTAAAGGAACTGTTAATACACCAGCTGATTACTATTTATGATCATTTGTTTTGTGACTGCTGTGGCTCTCCCTGAATCGAAAGTCTCCAAAGCCCTTTCATCTTCTGCTCTGCAGTTACATTTTTGCAAGGTATCCATTTCCACAGTCTTGATTTTATTTAGCTGTCCTGAATTCCCAATGCTAGCTATACCAGTGACGTACTCTACTATCTTTGACGTTGAGAGAACCAAGTCACTTGAAGCAGGCAAAGCTTTGGAGCTGGAATGTGAGGTTGCAGACTCCACTGGGCCTGTCTGCTGGTATAAAGATGGTGTAAGGCTCCTCCCAGAAAATGGTTGGGATATACTGAGTACTGGCACATTGAGGAGACTTATTATCCCATCTGCTGAGCTCTTGCACTCAGGGCTATACAGCTGTGAAACCTCTGATGGCACTAGCCACTACACTGTGGATATTAAAGGTGATTTTAATCAAATTTTTTTCTTAGAATACTAGAACTTCTTGGAGACCAGATGCAACTAACTTTTACAATATGCATATATGTCTGTCTGTGTGGTGTTTTATGTGATGTTTCTGTTCCGTAAATTAATCTCTACTGTCAAAATGAAAATAACTTTGTCTGTGAAAATTCAAACTTTTTGATCTGAGATATTTTTCCCCTGTTTGGGGAAGCTACACAAATAACCACTATCTTAATCTAAATATGCACAATTAAGTCCTCAATTATAATATGAATCATCATCTTTAGCTCCAACGTTGCCATTGTCGCCATCACCAGACCTTGTGGAGATGCAGTCACTTGAGGCAACCTGTCCCACTGAACCAACACGTGAACCCTCAGACCCTGCTGTCCAGGTGTCAGGGCAGAGGGATAAAGAATGTGATTCTAATACAGAGCCTGATTTTGAAACGGAGGCCATCCAGAAGACCCTTGTTATTGAACCAACTCATCCTTCAAACTCTGGAGCATACTATTGTGCAACAGCAGATGATGTTGCCCAATTGATAGTAAAAAATCAAGGTGATATTTTTTGTATGTGTTTTCTGTTAGCTATGACTAACTAGTTATGTAACTGTTTGTCTTTGCTCTTCTTGCCGTTGCAATGCAGAACTGATATCTGTGACAGTATCTCTTTTAAGTAATTGTTCTAATATCTAGGATCATGCAAACTGACATTATTACCCCAATGATTGTCTGTAGTGCCCTCTCCAAAATATCAGCTTGGTTCTGAGGTTGAGAAGACTGCTGAAGAGTGCTGCCCAATTGTTCAGCAATTTGAGATTTCAGATCCCATTGCCAAAGCCTGTTGGTACAAAGATGGAACCCAGATCTACCCTAAAAAAGAGGCTGACTTTGAATCACAGAGCAGCAGCCCAGCCTTGCCCCTCCAGTCACATGACTTTTCTGGCGATGAGAGGGTTGGCTGTGAAACAACGGGTGATGCAAGGTTAAATGTGGACATGAAAGGTGGTGTTCCACAATGTATTTGCACAATTAAGAATCAGGAATTTAGTTATATACATGAAGCTCATTGTTTTCTCTTTGGCTTTGTCCAAACAGCAGAGCAGTGTCACTATGGTGATGAAATTGGTGAGATAGCTGAAGCATCTTCCCAATACACTGTGGATGTCGAAGGTGATTTGATATATTTCAACATCAGTCATCCATGTTAACCCAGCACATAAAAAGCCACTAACAATAGTGGTGTATTTTATTGTTAGCTCACCCATCTGAGGCATCTGTAATATTCCATTAGAAATGTGCTTTTTGTCACTTTGTCATCTCTAGCCTCATGTCATTTCCTGAAATTTGGCTGAAATATGTGGGTGTTTTCAAGCTGCTCCTCATACTAACATATATGTTGTGTTTGTCAATTTACTCTTCATTTTAACAGTCATCTTTGCTTGTAACAAGCGACTTACAACTCTTTAAGTCCATCTTTTATCTTATTCATCACCAGATCCTCTCATTCACATTGCTGCCCTGAACCTCTCCCCGTTGCATTGACAACGAATTCTTATCAAAAAGAAGAAAATGTACTTTTTAGGTTGTTAAGGTGTTAGAGCAAAGACTGGTGGTAAACAATATTAGGAGTCAGTTGAAGGGGGAAATATAGGAGTTCAATCTCAGACCAATCCTGGTCGTCCTTCTTGTTTGTCTTTGCAATGGATTATCCCATAACACCATGCTAACCCACACTGATGTAAAATTGATGTTATGAGAGGACGTTTTGAGACCATCAACCACTGAAAATCTTTCTCTGTGTACATCATAATGCTTATAGCTACATCGCCACGGCTCTCTTCTGACCAAGAGAAGATCAAGTCCACCGAAGAGACTTTTCCTTTGTCATCAAAATGGAATTCTGGCATCTTCGGTGGCGAGACAGGAGATGCACAGACATATGAAGACCATTCCAGGCAAAGGCCAACTTCTCAATCAACATATGAATATTCAAGTGACTGGATTAAAACTGAACAGCCGGTGGAACTCTCAGACAATCGACAAACAAACAGACAATCACCAGTTTATCCCAACTCTGCAAAGCCAACAATAATGCAATCTGACAAACATCATCACACTCCAAAGTCTACAGAATCACAAGGGGAAGAATTCATTAACTATATACGGCATGCAGAAGGTTCATCTGATGAGTTTGATAAATCCCTACAGACGGATGTCTGGACAGACAAGCTCCGCAATTGTCTACAAACTACAACTGGTGAATTAGAGGAGATATATAGCTCAATACAGAAAAAAACTATCCAGTCAAATCTAGGGAACCCCCTATGGACTTCAACTACCCAGTCTGAACACTTTGATAACTCATTTCAGATTTCAACAGTCAAATCAGACAAGTTCTGTAACGCCTTGAAAACTGCAGATCTCCAGTCAGAGGAGACCGTTACATCGTTTCATTCTGCAACTGACATATCAGAGAAGCCCTTTAAAGCCATACCATGTGCAATTACACAATCAGGGGAGCCCACGACATCCTTACATACTGCAACTGGCAAATCAGAGGACTCGTTTACATCCTTGCATACAGCAACTGTCCAATCAGAGGAGCCATTTAAATCCACACATTGTGCAATTACCCAATCAGATGATCTATTTACACCCCTACATACTGCAACTGTCAAGTCAGAGAAGCCCTTTGAATCCTTACAGTGTGCAAATACCCAATCAGAGGGTCCTCCTACTTCCCTACAGGCAGCAACCTTCCAATCAGAGGAGCCATGTACATTGTTATATATTGCAACTGGCAAATCAGAGGACTTGTTTACATCCTTGCATACAGCAACTATCCAATCAGAGGAGCCCTTTAAATCCACACAGTGTGCAATTACCCAATCAGGTGATCTATTTACACCCCTACATTCTGCAACTGTCCAGTCAGAGAAGCCCTTTGAATCCTTACAGTTTGCACATATCCAATCAGAGGAGCCTCCTACTTCCTTACATGCAGCAACTGTCCAATCAGAGGAGCCATGTACGTTGTTATATATTGCAACTGGCAAATCAGAGGACTCGTTTACATCCTTGCATACAGCAACTGTCCAGTCAGAGAAGCCCTTTAAATCCCCACAGTGTGCATATACCCAATCAGATGAGCCTCCTACTTCCTTACATGCTGCAACTGTCCAATCAGGAAAGCCTTGTACACCTCTACATATGTCTAGTACCCAATCAGAGAAGCATTTTACATTGCTACATTCTGCAACTATCCAATCCAAGGAGCCTTTTAAATGTTTACAGACTACAATTATCCAATCAGAAGAGCTTGATAGCTCCATGCAGACATCAGCTGCTCCATCAGAGAAGCCTCTTGATAGCTTACTGACTGAAACTGTCCTTTCAGAGGGCCCCTGTAACTCCTTAGGGGCTAAAAATGACCAGTCAGAGGATTTTAACAGACCCCTACCTATACTGACTGTCTACTCGGAGAAGCTCAATGACTTCCCTAATACTACATCTCCTCAATCATTGGACTCATCTAACTCTGAAAAGGCAGAACTTGTCCAAACAGGGAAGGATTACAACATACGACAGTTTGCATATGTCCAAATGAATGACCACTGTAATACAGGACTTACAGTACCCAAAATTGCAGAGGTCATTTCTCCATCCATGCAAGCTTCAACAATCCAAGCAGAGATTCATCACGCTATGGAGACCACAGACGACCAAGTAGACAGCACAGTAAACTCTGAGCAGAGATCATCTGCTGAGTTTGCGGAGCCTGACTACATCAAGCAGGCCTCAAGAGTCCAATCAGACGAGATCTACCTATCAAGGACATGTGAAAGTCACTGGATCAACAGTTCTACTACAAATAAGGTGGCTGTTGAAGGTGATTTAAATGGTTAGCATTATCAAACAACATGGATGGGCACAATGTTGACATTGTGTAAAATGAAGAGCAATCCTTTTTTTTTTTTTACTATTTCTGGTTTTATTTACTTGATTTTGTCCATACTAAATCTAGTTTTATAAAACCTTGAGCTTGGGTAATGTGTGAGGAATATTAAAATGGGACAAAGAGTAAATACATTAGCTTCAGATCCTAACTTGAATGTCCAGATATATGAAGTCTAACCAAAGACACCTCTTGTTAGATTACTAATAACGCAGACATATCTTATATGACTTATTATAACTTTAAGATTTGTTGGCATGACTAATATTGATTGTATATCTTGCGCTTTTGTTGTTTAAAAGCATAATTTTTGTTGGAGTCAGTCAGTGATGCAATTTTCTCTTGATGTTACCTCATACATCCCCAGCTCTGCCTGTGACAATTACAACACTTTGTGAGGCTGAGAGGAACAAGTCTGTTGAAGCTGGTGAACCCATAGTACTTCAGTGTGAGGTATCAGATCCAAACGCTCAAGTTACTTGGTACAAGGATGGAATACAGCTACATGAAGCAGCTGGACAAGATATGGTGGCCGAGGGTTCCATAAGAACACTGGCTGTCCAGTCAGCGATGCCGTCTCATGCAGGGATTTACAGCTGCAAGACGACAGATGATGCAGTGCAGTTTCATGTGGATGTTAAAGGTGACAAAAGTTGTTTTTGTCTGTTCTACAAATAGATTTGAGTGCATCCAAATGTTTTCACTTTGTTGGTATAAACTTCTAGGCCTTGGGAGTAGGTGAAATATGGCAGGTTACTGCCTTAAAATCAAAGTACCTTTAGACACAGAATGCCCCTAACTAAACCTCCCTACCGAGGTAATGACAGTTTTCTTTTACTTCTGTCACTCAGGCATGATAAACCTCACCTCAGACTGAGTGGCCCTTTTTGCTCATATTCGTATTTGATAAAGAAGTGAGCTTTCTCTCACACTGTAGTTATTTATGTTTAAACATTTAGTAATAACCCCCCATGTCTTTAGTGTTCAATAACTATAAAGTCTTGGTCGACTAAGTTTGGATAAATCTATCTCTGTCAAGTGCTTTCTGGGGACATTTGTTCAAATACATACATTTCTATAGTTTCTAAAACAGCCCTGAAGAAGCTGTTGATCTCATCTCATACAGTGAACTGAAAACCCACAAAATATGTTTTTTCAGAAACACTGAGACAAGCGGTATGTACTGTATAATTGAGACATGTCATTCAAGAAAACTATAAAGAAATTATTTCAACATCAGCACTAAAAACACATAGGCACAGTCCAAAATGTTGAACCCTAGTTCTTTCACAGTACCATTATTAGAGCATGCAGAAAGGTATATGTCAGGTGGCCTGGATTGTATGGCTCATTCATTTCTTGATTGACCAGGTAAGATTACTCCTCAAGCACTTTTCAAACCTCCAATTGAATAGGGGGGAAACTCTTTTTATCAATCTACAGCTCATAACCAACAAATTTAATTTTAAAAAAAGAGTTTAAGAAAGATGCTATATAAAACTTTACTTATGGGACTAACAGGAATGTAGTATTTCAATCAGTGAATTTCATTGAAATATTCATTGTGATCATTAATTAGATTTCTCATTTACAAGAGAAATACAATACAATACAATCAGACCGCTTCATTAATTTAAGATCTACCATTTATGCAGTTTGTTAATTATACCAAAAGTAATTTGGTGAGCCATACTTAATCAAAACTTTGGGAAGGATAAATGAATGAATATGAAAATGACTGCAACAGCAAATATGTTTTGTAGGAAATGTAAAATGGCGTGGATTACATTCTCTATTCACATAATAATGATGTGTTGTTGATTTGAAAGTTGCAAATACAGTGATACAGAACATATCACAAACAGTTTCATGGTATAGTGAATAGTGAAGATTGTTGAACTTACTGAACCTTTCCTTTTGTTGCTACACATGGTAATCCTCAGTGTTACTACACTGCATAGTTTTACTGACAATAAAATTAGAATTCAAGAAATTTCTAGCTGAAATTTCTAGAAATCGTTTTGGAACATTATCCAACATGTGTTTCCTACAAAACCAAATTACTTTTGTAGTCTGTAGTAAGATGTAGGAGACAGGGTTGAAAGCTGAAGGTTTTAGTTTCAGTATTATGTTTTGCTTCATTTGGTTAATCGCAGTACCTGTTTTGACCAGCTCTATTTCACATTCAATCCCGTAGCTCCACTTCCGGAGGTTTCAGCTTTATCTGAGGCTGACCAGACAGAGACAGTCGTGGTGGACTGTCCTGTTTCTCTACAATGTGAGCTGTCAGAGCCCACTGGACAAGTCCGTTCGTACACGGATGGAACAGAGCTCCTACCTCAAAGTGGAGTAGACTTCCAGTCAGAGGGAATTTTGACGAGTCTAGTTGTCCCATCAGCAGAGCAGGCTCACACTGATGTATACCCCTGTGAGTCAAGGAATGATGTTGTTGAGTTTGCTGTGAAATTAGATGGTGATGCTCAGACGTTCTGTAGTGCTTTCACTGTCTTGCTCTGCCAACTAACTATAGTAGCAGTTAGGTTGATTAAGTCACGTTTGTCTTTCACCTAACAGATAATGGCTCATTTTACCACTTCCCAAACTTAGTCAACTACCTTTCTAAAAATGGGAAGCCACAGGTTTCCTCTGAAATAACAACCTCAAAATGCATAAAATACCTAATCAATCAACCAATGGCAATATACATGTTTCTTAAATTAGTGATTGCATGTTGTGTCAATGTTAGAACTTAATACTTTTAAACAAACTATAAAATAATAAAGGATATCTGCTTTCCAGACATTTTATTTTTTTCATTAATTTAGCTTCACAGTGCAGCTTCTTGTTATGCATGTCCAATAACTTCAGAAAGCCAGCATTTGTCTTCTAGATTAACAGAGTACCGCACCTTTACCATGAACAAAGAGTCTTTCTTTCTTCTGTGTGTCTTTCCTGTTTATTTTTGTCTGTTTCAGTTTGATGTCAGTGTAAAATAACTGGATAACCGAAATCTTGATTCTTCCTTTTTTACCCCTTATGATAATTTGTTTCACTTATTGTCTTTACATTGTCTGTTGTGTAATATATGTTGTTCTGTCACGTTTGCTTTCTTTTGAAGGAACTGTGCCATCTGTTAGCGTTGGTAAAATTTCAGTTGCTATCTTGACATTCTTTGTAACTGAATATTTAGTAGGTTCGATATAGAACTTACTGTAAGTTTATGAAGCTTATTTAGACACTCTTTCTGAAACCTATAGCACTGCCTGCGAAGTTCTCTGAGCTTCAAGAGTCTGTCAGGAAGAAATCCATCCAAGAAGGCACTCCCATTATCCTCAGCTGTGAACTCGCTCAAGACCCCACCGCTCATGTGGACTGGTACAAGGATGGAATGCAACTCCTGCCACAAAATAATGTAGAAATAGAGTCAGATGGTCTGACAAGGAGGCTGCTCATCCACTCAGCTGAAATCATACATGGTGGCACCTATGAATGTTCAACATCAGATGACACCGTTACATTTAAAGTGGACGTTAAAGGTGATTTATTTCTGTCCTTACCATTCTCTTATCTTCATACATACAAGTCCATCTTGTTCTATGCTATGAATGGATTTTAATTGCTCAGGAGAAGGTGGTATTACTGGCCGGGAAGTGTGTTCAAAAAATCTTTGTTATTTCCTTTTCTTAGGCCGATCACCACAGATCATGCCAATCACCCCGTCTGAAAAATGCAAGAGGATTGCAGTTGGTTGTCCGATTATTCTCCAGTGTGAGGTCTCAGAGCCTGTTGCCCAGGTCTCCTGGTTTAAAGATGGGGTGGAGCTTTTTTGCAAAACAGGCCTTGATATGAAAAGAGACGGCAGCTTCAGAAAGTTAATGATTCATTCTGCAAAGGTGTCTGACTCTGGCCTTTACAGCTGTAGCCTCGCAGATGACGTTGTGACATTCCATGTGGACATTGAAGGTGATTTGCTTGTATTTAGTCTGAATTAATGAGATTTATTATAACTTTATTCTTATATTATCTGTACACTTCTTTGCGTAAGTACTCTTGAGAAAACTCTTTTTTCTTTCATTTTCTTACTATTTTTAAAACTGTATGGAAACAGGGCCCCCACAACTGTATGTTTTAAAAAAGGTTTCATGTGTAAAAACACAACTCGTTAAATAACCCAGCCTTCTGACAGCTTAACAGCAGTGTTCTGCATTGCTCTTCTGATGCAGCTCCTCCTGTGAGGTTTTCAGCACTTCCAGAGATTGAAAGAGACAAATTTTTTGAGGCAAGCGACCCAATTAAGCTGCAGTGTGAAGCATCAGAGCCAACTGCCCAACTCTATTGCCACAAGGATGGAGAACAGCTGCTTCCAAAGAGTAAATGTGAAATTGAAACTAAAGACAACCAAAGGGCACTTGTTATTCAATCAGCAGAGGTCAGACACTCTGGGCTGTACAGCTGTGAGGCCACAGATGACCATAGAGAATTCAAGGTGGATGTTGCAGGTGATCCAAGTGTTTTGAGCTTTGTCAGAATCACTAACTTCCTTCAATTAATACTTGGCTACTTGAACAATTTAGGCTTTCAATATTTTATAATAATCTCAGACAATGTGTACTAATACTGTATTATGTAGTCTACTTTTAATAATTCAGTGGCAGACATATACAGTCAATTCTAAAAGTAAATGTAATGCTGTTGCAGCTTTTACTTTAAAGATTTATTTCGGAAGCAAAAACTTAAATGCCCTTTCAGACTACAAGAGGTTTCTCTTTTTAAGGGTCTGGTGCTCACTTAAAACTACCTATGATCATTTGTTCCATTGTCATTGTAATAATATGCAATGGTAAAGGTGGCACTAATCAACCAGAGATAATTATCAACTGAAAAATTATTTATTTTTTAGATACATTAACAGTTTTTCATTTTGGTTTTGGCTTTACAGTCTGCAACTTTAATTTTTACTTCAGTCTCATCAGTTTTGTCTGTAGATGCAACAAGCAACTGTATCCAAGCAGCATATTACAGTACTACCTGCTCATGCAGCGCTAAACAACTAAACCATAGACAGCCAAAGTTACCAGCTAACTGGTGAAAGTCAACCATTTATCAGCTACTGAGTCAGACATTTATTTAGGGAGAAGACAGAGCATAGAGTTTGAATATTGCTCAGGTTTTTTGAAGGGACACAAATGCAGCTCTAGCTTAATGCTTTGTTTGTTCTGTTGGGCTGGGTGTGTACATACAATCCTTCATAGGCTAAATGTTTGCCCCAACTTTGCATGGCAATACTATGTCAGTGTGTTAACTGACTTGTTTAAGTAGTGGCCCAGAATTCACTGGTCTGAAAGGGCATTACATATTACTGTATTGTAATCACTAAAATAAGATATAAACAGAAAAACAGTCAGATAAGACAGCAAGCAAACAAATCAAATTTAAACCGTTTTTCAGACATGACCTGCAGAGGAACTGTGGAGAATTGGTTCCGGACTTTCACCACAGTTTGCCTTTGACATATGCACAACTCAGCAGGAGATTCTCTGCTCAGACGCGTTCACAACAACAAATCCTCTGCAGGAGGCAGAGGCTGGAAATAACATTAATTCTACTGCGTTGATTACGTGTTTCTGTTTAAGGCACATCAACACTGGCACCGGCGCTTATCACAACAAACTCTTGACATTGTCAGTGACGCTTTTCTTATTCTGGGATTTTTTTATTTATTTTTGCATCTGTCGCTTTTTAAAAGGGCCTTCTTTCGGACGTTTCCATTCACACACACACACACCTCCTCTGCAGGAACTCTTGATGATCTCTGGGGTTCAGTGCCTGTCTGAAAGCACATGAAGTTTTGTCATTTAAATGCTGTCAAGTGACGTACTGTATGTACGACATGCAATGCAATCATTTGAAATTAGACCAATTCATGTTCCATAATACTGGCTCACTGAATATAACTAACAATTTCAAAGTTAGATGATCTTACAACTTTGCTATACCAAACTACTTTTTCGTTAACCTGGAGACAGATGTCAAATTATAGCCTTAAAAAGTGTTTTAACATAGTATAGCACAGCAAGTCTGATTACTATCTGGTTACTGTTCAATGGATTGAAATTCCTATAGCACCGGTTTGATTCTCAGCTGTTCCAGAGGCTGAGATGAACAAGTCTGTTGAAGCAACTAGCCTGACCAAACTGCAGTGCGAGATGTCAGCCCCTGCAAACCAGACCTGCTCATACGAGGATGGAGTAAAAATCTTGCCAAAATCAGGAGTAAACATTGATTCAGAAGGCAGTGAAAGGACTCTTGTTATGAAGTCAGCCCCTTCTTCAGACTCTGGGGTATACAACAGTCAAACTGTTGAGGATTCAGATTTCAACGATTTCTGTGTGGAGGTGAAAGGTGATATGCTTAGCTTTTCTTGGCAAGATGTTGTCACCATCACATCCATCGCAGCTGATTTCCTTCTAAACTTGCTAATTTCATTCTACATTTTCTTTTTTTTATTCATGCTTCACATTTAAGAACGAAATAGCATGTATTTTGATGAGTTTGTCGTTTCCCCCAGCACAAATGGTTGCATTCCATCAGAGCACTGCTTCAATTAACTTTCTGTTTGCCTCAAAAGTGGATTAACACCCACGGATGATTATGTCTACAAGGAGTTGTCATCTATAGCAAGGCTTGAGATCAGCATGTCTAAGCTGTGAAACCCTGACCTTACCACTACTGAATGCATGAGCATAAACAATGAATGCTACTTTCAACCAACAGCTTACTTCTTTTTTGTACTGTTTTATGCAGCACCACCGGTGACATTTGCGGATATTCCTGAGGAGGAGCTTTTCAAGAGTGTTGTGGAAAGAGAACAGCTTGTTCTGTCATGTGACGTATCAAGGACTGACGGTGTTGTCCAATGGTACAAAGATGGAGCTGAAATGAAACCAAGCAATAATGTTTCACTGCAAACAGAGGGCACGAGAAGAGACCTGACTATACATTCAGCCCAACTGTCCGACACAGGCACATACACATGCCGTGCAGGAGACCACGTTTTGATCTTCAAGGTTACCATACGAGGTAAGAAAATATCTGACTAAAACTCATTTACATTTGCTTTGCTGGTATAAAAGATGAATAACGTACATCATTTTTCATTTTTATTTCTATCCTTCCTCCAAAGAACCTCCGGTGATGATAATTTACCCTAAGGAGGATGTCCATCTTGACCGTCATGTCCCTGATGAAATTATTCTGAGCTGTGAACTGTCTCGTGCCAATGGTGTTGTCAGCTGGTACAAAGATGGTCAAAAGCTGCAAGACAGTGAGAACATCAAACTCAAGATTGAAGGCCCTTATCGTCGACTAAAAATTATTTCCAGCCGAGTCGATGATTCTGGAGAATATGTCTGTGATACAGCTGACGATTCAATATTCTTTCACCTTTGTATTACAGGTAAAATCCCTAATGCTACATACATGTAGGTATCTCAGTATGTGTAGAAGGCCGGGGTACACATCTAAAGACTACTGGCCGATTTAACATTGCAAAAGTTTAAGTTTTTTTATACCATTAAGATCATGTTACTTACTATTTTTGTAGAATACTCAAAAAGTTGTTTATATGTTGACTTGACATCTAGATGATAGTTTAAATGTCTTGTAGCATTCTTTCAAATAATCAGTAATGTAAACATTGCCTCAAAATGTCAATTTCCAGAACCTCCAGTGCGAATCGTGTCCCCAAGTCAGTCACAAATGGAACTTTGCCAGCAAACCTCAGAGAGGATGGTACTGAGCTGTGAAATCTCAAGACCCAATGCAGCGGTGCGCTGGTATCGAGACGGACTCGAAGTGGAGGAGAATGAGAACCTTATCCTAGAGGTGGATGGTGTCTACAGAAGACTTATTATACCTGAAACTACCGTCAAAGATTCTGCAGAATACGTGTGTGACACAGTAGACGATTCCATGACGTTCTTTGTGAACATAGCAGGTAATAAAATACTTAATGAGGAATATTGGAGTCCACTAAACGTGTTGCTGTGTTAATGTCTATCCACTACTAACACAAAATTCCTACTACTCAGAGCCTCCTGTTCGCTTCATACGTGCAAGGAAGATGGCAAGCAGAGTAGAGAAGCTGGTGGGGGAGACTCTGGTTCTAGACTGTGAAGTTTCAAGATCAAACGCTGAAGTCATCTGGAAGAAAAATGGGGAAGAAGTAGAAGACTCCAGGAATATCACTATCCTCGATGATGGTGTTATGCGTCAGTTGACCATTCACTCTCTAACAGAGAAAGATGCTGGGCAATATGTCTGTGATGCAAAGGACGATGTAATGGATTTCAGTGTAAAAGTGCAAGGTAGGTTATTATACAATATAACTCAAAATTAGATATGTTATTTCATTGATATGCAGAATTGATGGGAATTGTAATATTTTGACATAACGTAATTTGTCAGAAACAAGAGAAAACAAAACTGGTTGCTATAGAATAAACATTATTTGGGAGAGTCCTCTACTTCTGTAACAGAAGTTTAAAGAAAAAGGAAATACAGGAAAGGTAAGTGGAGTGAAGTGAAGTGGTAACCTGCAACCAGATTCAATTGGTTCAGTATTATTTAAGTTTGTTGTTTTGCCTGTTAATACTTCAGGGCTCTGCACTATGCAAGAAATAGTTTTTTTCTTGATTAAAATGGATCAAGATTGTGTTCCAATAGGATATTTTCTTCTTGCTCATTTTCAGAGTTGCCTGTAAAAATTCTTGGAAAAACTGAGGCAAAAACAGAAAAGCAGTTCTTAGTTTCAGACGACATTATTCTTGTGTGCGAACTGTCAAGATCCAATGTCTCAGTCAGTTGGTACAAAGACAATCATCTAATTGATGACACTGAGCGATACTGTATTGAGGAGCAAGGTGTTTTCCGATCACTGGTTGTCCTAAATGCTGGGCTCCAGGATTCAGGAGAGTACACTTGTGATGCACTGGATGATAAGATGGTCTTCTATATCACTGTCAAAGGTAATCATATTATAAAGTTCTTGAAGTGCTGATCCGTCCTTCCTTGACGCAGGAAAATAATTACTGGTGCTGTGTCTTTTGCGCTTAGAGCCTCCAGTGCAGATCATCGGAAACTCAGGCCACCCAGAGAATCACATCCTGGTAGCAGGAGATGACCTTATTTTAGAGTGTGAGGTGTCTCGGCCAAATGCCACTGTTCAGTGGTTATGGAATGGCGAGATACTGAAACCAGATCCTCGTATCAAAATCGCCAGCTATGACGTTGTGAGAAAGCTTGTTCTCTCTGGACTTCAGCCCTCGGACTCTGGAAAATACATTTGTGATGCGGTCGATGACAAAGTGATTACGATTGTTGAGGTTCAAGGTGAGTTTAAATGTTTTGTGCATGCAGTGTGTTTTTAACAGACTTTATGTGTTTTGCATGTGTGCAAATGCAACTTACAAACAACTGCTCTGTTAATGTAATTCTTCACAGAGCCACCGGCCATGTTTTTGAATAAAGAAGCAAGAAACATCTCAGCCTATGAAAATGAGAGTGTTACACTGAGTGCCATTGTGAGCCGTGAAAGGGCTAATGCTCGGTGGCTGAAAGATGGCCAACTACTGAACGAGGATAACATTCACATTTCCAGTGAGGGTAATACGCACAAGCTCACCATTAATCCTCTGCAGCTGTCAGATTCTGGAGAATATGTCTGTGACATAAACACAGATGAGATGTATTTCACTCTTTTAGTCAAAGGTAACTATTTGGCACTCCCTAATAAAAATGTGACCTTTGCTCACCAGTGAACTACTTGATTCGAAATGTCACGTCTCTTGCGTTACATTATTTGTCTCATCAGAAATGAAGGTGAAATTTATCAGACCAGTGGAGAATATTGTGTGTCTGAAGGGAAGCAGCCTTACACTACGATGTGAGATCAACAAGCCCAAAGGAGATGTGCAGTGGTTAAAGAATGGGCAGGAGATCCCTCCGAGCCGGCGGCACACAATACGAGCACAGGGTCGAGAGCGAAGCTTCACCATCCACCAAATAGTGGAGGAAGATGCTGGAGAATATACCTGTGAATCCACAGATGACAGGACTTCATCTACTGTCAGTGTAGAAGGTAAGTACAATCAAATCTTTCAACTTCATACAGTTCAGAGAGAGATGTGTATGATTCATAGTCAAAGGGCCAGCTGACATTTAAAGTGTTGAATCTAATCCCACTGATTGCTTTGCCTTCAGCTCCCCGTGTTGTTGAGTTCATTGCAGAGCTTCGTAACATCACGATCCGTGAGGGAGAAGACGCAGTTTTTAAGTGTGTGGTTTCACCAGAGGACACTCAGTTGGTGTGGCGCCTCAACGGCAAACAAGTAGCTCTAAATGAGCGCACTGTCATTTCAAGCAATGGACTGTGCCATATGCTCTGCATCCACAACTGCATGGTTTCAGATAGCGGCAGAGTGACAGCTGATGCAGAGGGCTTGGTTTCAGAAGCAGAGCTCCAGGTTCAAGGTAACTTCTCGCCCCATTAACACTATAATTATATACATTTCAAATGACAGAAGTTACAACATTCAACGGTAGTTTAATCAGCTCTTATTTCTCTTGTTGTTATCACCATATTTTCTAACTATGAACTATTATCAGCAGGACTGGAGTGAATGTGAACATAAAAGTGAGTGGGTTTAAATGCCTGTGTACCATTAGTAGCACATTAGCATATAAGATAAGTAATGACCCTCTAAGAGAAGTTGAAATTGTTGGAGGTGTCTTTGACAGCTTGCTTTTAACAGCTTCTCCTGTTTGAATTCCTCTGGTAACTGACAGAGACAAGTGGCTCAGTGGTTTTGGTGTATGTGACACATTAGGAGGCAAGACTCCTCAGAGTTTTATGCTCGGTCTCTGTGCCTGAACTTCCAATGCAGCCCCTTTCACTGGTCTATAATGCATTTAGCGCTGTCGGGCTGTGGCTTCAGTGTTGGAGTATTGTTATGCAGAATCTGCGATGAACTCAAATACAATATGATCATATAAAAGCATTTAAAGGGTTGTCATGAGAAATGCTGCTCTGAATTAATTTTCAGAGGAACAGGTGCTATTCACCAAGAAAATGACGCCTGTTGTTGCTGAAGAATACAGTGAGGCACTTCTAGAGGTGGAGGTGAGTGTGGATTCAGAAGAGGTGCAGTGGATGAGGCAAGGGGTGCTGATCCACCCCGACGCCAAGTACACCCTGAAACACAAGGGCCAAAAGCACAGTCTCACCATACACAAACTGGCCATGTCTGACCGGGGCACCTACAGCTGTGAAACCCTCCACGACCGCACGCAAGCCCAGCTTACAGTGGAACGTGAGTGTGCACGTGTTCTCACTATGCCCTGTTCTTGTTTGTTTACCGCTGTTGCCGACAGCTCCACCTCCATCAGTGCCTCTTGTGAAAGCAAAGCTCAATTAACTGAGTAAGAGTAATTTGAGTGACTGGGGACCAGGATGGCATTTGTATTGGAACACGATGGCAACCAACAGGTGATAGTCTTACAGGCCAAGCTGACTCTCACAACAGGGTCTCTGTATTGACAAAGGATCAATGAAGCCCTGATGATTTCATTACCTATGTCAAAGACAAAGCAGATTACAGTTTAAAGTAAGTGCCTTATGAACAGCAAGTTACTTTGTTTTTGTTCAAGTAAAATAAATAGATTTTGTAAACAGAGTAAAAAAATATCCTGTTAACAAGTTCCACATAGGTTTATTGAAAGTAGTAGTAGTAATGTTGACACATTAAAACCAGTGATTAGGACGTACTTGTGTTTTTCTTTGCACATACTTCTTATATTTCTTAGTCTTATGATTCACAGGCCAGTGGGTGAATTAAAGGCTGTTCTTTCAACACTGGCGTGGGTGGGAAGGGGAAAGCCAGGACTTCAGGCTGCCGTTGGCACCTCCTATGAATTTGGAGCTCCTCTCATTGCATCTAAATTTACACCCTGGCCTTCAAAACTGAGGTTGTTGTCATCAGGTCTCCAAAATAAACACCCCTTTTTTTCCACAGGGAATGCTCGTCTGTGTTAGAATAAGTGAAAAATGTTGGCAGTTGCAAAGCTGGCTTTTGTATAAAGCCCACTACTCAAATGACTAAAATATCTCCCTGTGAATGTGTGCCACCTTGTATTGTTTAAATCCAGACTGCTGTGTGCAGAACAGTCTCTGAGCCCATTGTGTTACAGAACACGGACACTGTGTCTGCTCAGTGTTAAAGCAGAATAAATATACTTTGGGCTAATCTTTCACACAACTTTTCTCCAACTATTGATTTGAATTTATTCGTTATACAGAAAAGCACTGACAAAAAGTACTCGCAAAATTGATACTGTAACTAAATGTACTTGTTCTTTAACCTACTGTCCACTTTTACACTACAGAAGCTTTATTATAAGTTTGGTTAGTTTTATTATAAAACTCTAAGTTACATTTTTATAAAACTGCCAAGGATGTGTTATGTTATGGTCGTCTGCGTTAGTTTGTTATCTAACAGGATTACTAAATCAAATTTTAGAGCAGATCTAGATCAGGGGACACATCCACAAATTGGATTTCATGTGTGCTTTACTGCATGCCCTTCTACTTACTTCATTGTTTAAATTAGTTTTGCAATTCTCTTTACAGCTCGTAAAATCACTATTCAGAGGGGACTGACCGACATTACAACCACAGAGAGAGAAACGGCCTCTTTTGAAGTGGAGCTCTCTCATCCCAACGTCCCAGGCACTTGGATGAGAAACAGAGTCAAACTTAAGCCGACAAATCACTTCCGTATGAGTGCCAAAGGACGAGTGCACAGCCTCACCATTTCTCACCTGTCGGTGGAAGACACTGGCACCTTCATGTTCTGTGTGGAGAATCTGAAGACCACTTCAAGGCTTGTTGTGAAGGGTGGGTTATTTATATTAGTTTAAAAATACATTTCATTGAATAAGCTTTGTAATGATGCAGGTAATCCAGTTTTAATGAATGCTTGTACCTAACATATTTTTTTTTTTTTTTTTTTTACAGTACACTGCAGTGCTATCAAAACAAAATCTTACTGTACTAATTTTGCTGTGACCTCAGACTGGTGGCTATAGTGGTCCACTCAGATGAGACTGAATGCCAGCCAGTGGAGGCATGATAATAGAATGGAGGGCCGGCTCGGCTACTGTTCCCTTTATCCTGGCTCATGTTCCATACACAAAATAGCTTAGCATTGCCCATTGAAAAGTGGTAGCTCTGTTCTGACTTTTCTTTTAGTAGCTAGTTCACTCTCACACTGTAAAATAATCTGCTCCATGCCAAGTCAATCAGTACGCATCATCTCTTTGAGCTGGCGGCTAAAATACTGGGGATGACAACTGGATGAATATGTCACTGTGGTAAATTAGTCCAAAGGGTAGGTTCACATTTTTTATGTTTTAAAAATAATGCTCACATGTACAGACAGTGTGCATGTTGTCACATTTCCTCCTGTTCATATAGTCCTTTAAGTGACACCTTCCAACAGGCATCCAATGGAAGTGCATGTGTAATCAATTCTAAACTTGATCTAAGTTAGTATTAAGCTTCAGGAGTCAAAATTTTAAATAAATAAATTGGTGGTACCTTTCAAAGTTATCTTGCACTGTCCGTATTTACTTGTAATATTAATTTAGCCAATAATGGACTTTGTCAAACTTAAATGAAGCCACTTAACTTTGTTAAATGTTTTGAATGAATGATGACAGTTGGTTTTGTCATCCTTACACTAAAAGCATGTAAAGGCCGGATTAACAGGAGGAATAATTACAGCATTAAACAAACCTATCTGATTTTCTTACTGTAAAGACTAAATTAACTTTTCAAGAGATATAAATTGGGTTCTGGTGTCTTAATTTAATATGCCTTCTCTCCACTAGAGCCCCCAGTGACCATTTTCAGAAAACTGGAGGACCAGAAATTCTCTGACGGAGTAGTAATCTCTATTGAGTGTGAGCTGTCGAGACACAACGTTGATGTCAAATGGCTCAAGGTAAAACGACCCAAATTCTAGTGGACACAGCATTTCAGTCACAACCAATTTTTAATTCGACTTTAAAGTAAAACTTCTCAGTTGTCTTTTCTTTACTTAGGACAATGTATCAAATCCAGTTGTTGGATTGTTAATTGAAATAACATATTTTTGACATCCTTTTCAGAATGGGGTTGAGCTTAAGCCCAGTAAGGAGTTGCGCATTTATGCAATGGGAAGGAAACGATTTCTTCAGATCATGAAATGCCATGTCAGTGATTCTGGCATGTATACCTGCGATGCTGGAGATGCTACTACATCCTGCACTGTGGAGGTCTACGGTAAAGTCTGCTGTCTACAATACTATAAATGTCACAAAAGCACGGCTGGTTTCACAGATGTGATGCAATGGTACTGACCAGCTGGAACAATAACTTAAACCCAGGCTGACTAGCAGTATTGTGCTGCCCTCTACTGGTACTGCATTGCAGCAATGTGAAAAGTTAAACCACTGGAGGTCAGCAAAGACAAGATTTTTAGGGGGTCATATTTGACAGTCATGAAAATAAAAAGAATATTATTCTGCAGAATGGCACTAAAATGTAAGGTGAGGGATCACTAGCAGCAGGTACCCAAACATTGAAAGCCAAAAACAACAAACCAAAAGACTTAACAGACAGATATGATTGACGATATTGTGGCACTACCTGGATACTGCTTTCCAACCAGAGGCTGAAGAGGGATTAGCTGACTAAACTACACAAGCTGACATAAGATGCTTTTCTTTAATTGTTAACACTTATATACTTTAGAAAAGACACAGCAGCACACTGAGAAAACAATTACAGAAGTACTGAAGAACTCTTAAGTGTACAACACTCCAAATACTAGTAGTGCATACTTTACACCACCCAGTTATACTGACACTTAGATCGAGTACTTGAATATTTCCATGCTATCACGTTAAAATAATGATTTAAACGATGCTACCAGATACCACCGGAGCTGTACTGAATTTGCATTGACAGCAACTAATGCACGTTTTTTAGGAGCATTTTTTTGATTTGTCATAGCAGGAAAAACACAGGCTGAATGAATATGAATTCACAGGGATGAATTCAATTTAGCTTCAGTATTGTGCACTTAAACGTAACTATGCATTAGTTCATGTTGTAGTCTCAGCTGCCCTCCTTCTGAAACACGTCCAACTGTCTGCTGTAAATGAAAGGTGGTGTAAAGACTCTTTGGTATGAGCAGCACCACAATGTGAAGGAAAGAGGAGTGTGCAACACTAAGCAAAGTAAAGTAATAAGTATAAGGCTCAGGGGTTAGAGCGGCCGTCCTCTAATCAGAAGGTCAGCAGTTTGATCCCAGTCTTCCCTAGTCCACATGCCAAAGTGTCCTTAGGCAAGACACTGAACCACAAATTGACCTTTCGCACAGAGAAAGTGCTGCACATAGATGCACTGTATGAATGAATGGGTGAATGTTAAACTGTACTGGAAAGTGCTTTGAATGGTCATCAGGACTGGAAACGTGCTATATAAATACAGACCATTTACCATTAAAGTAAAGTTTACCTAATGACGACTGTTACTCGGGTTTATAGTCTGGACATTTTCACTGAATGTCACCTGTGAGGAGCTTCGAGTTTACAGCCACTCCAACTGTGGTTGGACTGGTAACGACAGATCGAATCATTCTAAGCACAGAAACATCAATCGAAACAAATAAATAAATACAGAGATAAAAGAAAGAACTCAGCAAACACTCACAATATAAGCACTGCTACCTGTGACAGCTTGGCGAAGGTCAAAGGCTTCACTCCCTAAACATCACAGATATGAGACTGCGTGAGCACTACTGTTTAAGCAATACTGTCTCCATAATTAAATAATACATTCAATTGTTTAGGCACAAGCACACCCATAGATTAAATGATCTGTTGGGGTTTAAAGTGTGACTGCAGGAAAGCAGACTTCAGAATATGAGAGAGCATCATGCACAGATGTTGTGTGGATGAATTCTGATTTTCTCCTTGGCCAAGTGTCAATAAATATTTCAGCATAAGATGTCAAAGGGCTCCTGAACGCTTCCTTCACTGATGAGTTGACCACTGATCAGCAGATTTTCCACAACAGTAGTAGTATACAGTGTACAAGTTCATTTAAATACTAAAAGGTATTCACCAAAATTAAAATGTTTTATAAATAAACTGCTAGGGTTGTAATTGTGTGTGTGTGTGTGTGTGTGTGTGTATATATAGATATAGATATATAATCTTTTCCCCACATTGTAGCCTACAGCTATATATTGTGATCTTGCAGTCACTATAAGAAAAGGTCTTCTGATGTTGTCCTGTCATAAATCTGTACTGGAAGACTGGTTACTAGGCAGATTATAGTGTTTTGCTCTATCACCAGTTTAGCCACTATAGTAATAGCTAGATGTATCCTAAAGATACTAGCTAATTGATTTTGGATTTTTTAACATCCTGTTATGACAAAAAAGAATGTTTATTTTCTCTTGGATGTGGTTTTTTATGCTCTGTTTATTTCCATTCATTTTGATAATGTTAATTGGTGCCCATTGAAATCTTAAATATATTTTTTTGAAGTTTTTTTTTTACCTTTTGGCAGAGCGGGAGCTGTTGATCGTGCAGGCCCTCGAGGATTTGGACATCCAGGAGGATCAGAATGCCGTGTTTGTCTGTGAGATCTCTGTGGAGGATGTGCCTGGAGAGTGGTACAAAAATGGGGAGCAGATACAACCCACCAGTACCATCAAGATCCGCCAGGAAGGTCAGCTTTAAAATCACCAAATGTACATCACACTGGTGGACATCTCTGCACGTGATGTTTAAATAATGTGACAAGACAGATAAATAATCAGATATTCTATGTAAACTCATTTAAGAGAGGACACAAATTATGTGTGTTGCATTGTTTACACCAGTAGAATGAAGATAATTATTATCTGGATGATTATTTATGATTTTGATTTATTCTTGTTTCAGGGACCAAACATTTTCTTCTCATGTGCAATGTGCGACCGGAGGACTCCGGAGAGATCAAATTTGTCGCCAGACACGTTGAATCTGTCGCTCACCTGGAGGTGGAAGGTATTCTGATAAATTAAAACACGTCAATAGGTGTTTCTAAGTATGCATAAATGTTTTTACATAGATAGAGGATGACTGTTTGTTGTCCTATAGCGCCACTCTGTACCTGAACCATGGCTTCACATCTTGCCACAGGGTTTTTAATTTACACTAAATACAATTAAAGCTATGCAGTGTTTATTTTATGGTCACACACAAAGTCAAATACAGTAAAAACAGTGTGTTGATTTGTAGAACTTCAATATTTGTGAGTACAATAAGATATTTATACATTAATTCAGAGCTTATTTTGATTTCTTCTTTCACCCCCTTATACCATATGTGTCCTGAAATTCAACTGTTAAATCCTTTTCAGAGATTCCTGTCAACATTGTAAAACCTCTGCAGGATAAGACCGTCCTTGAGAAGACCAGAGGGATGCTAGACTGCGCTGTGTCTAACTCCAGATGTAGCATCCGCTGGTACAAAGGCTGTAACGTCATACTGCCCTCGGAGCGCTTCGAGATCAGCAGTGAAGGCTGTTATCGCAAACTGATCATCCAGCAGGTGGTGCTAGATGATGAGGGCATTTACAGTGTCCAGGTCGGAGAGCATTCATGCTCCGCAAAGCTGACAGTGGAAAGTAAGAGACTCCGTTATTATTCATAAGCACTTGTGTAGTTTACAGACACATTTGTATTTATTTATTGCATAATATATAAATTGGAATTACAGACGAGAAGTATTATATCATTATCTGACTACAAAGCTTTGTGTTACATGTATATCATGGGGTGGACATGCACAGTATATAGGCTACTTCACTACTGCTCTTTTTGGTTACTGTTTGATATTGATGAGGTTTTCATAGCCCAACAGTCATTAAACATGAAATAACAATGACAGTAGTGTGGCACTCCCCTCATACAAGTGCAACAGAGGAAGTGGAGGAGGCATAAACATACTGAACATAACCCCATACATAAGTCCATAGCTCCATCTACTGGCAAACGAAAACCAACATAGAGTTCTTCTTCTCCTGAAATGAAATTGTAGTGAGGGATTAAAATAGAAAAGCTGTTGGTATTTTTAACACGTTTTGATCTCATCTCACTCCTGCTCTGTTTATATTTGAAGTATTGATTTGCAACGATCTCAACAGCCACAATATTCTGCTGA